GAGACCTCTTCTCCTGTTTCGGGATACCCAGGCGGACCTGCAGGAGCAGCGGCTCGGGCCTCTGCGCAACCCGCAGCCAACACAAGTAGCACCCCCGCTCCAGTCCAAGAAGTCAGCCCGCCCACCGAGTACCCATACCGCGCCAAAGCCATTTACAGTTATGAGGCCAACCCAGATGACGCGAATGAGATCAGCTTTAGCAAGCACGAGATTCTCGAAGTGTCTGATGTAAGCGGCCGGTGGTGGCAGGCCAAGAAAGAGAATGGCGAAACAGGTATCGCACCGAGCAACTACTTGATCCTGTTATGAAATCACATATCAAGGTTAAAAGGATCTTAAGAGAGGTTGTCGCTATGAATGATGGCGGGTTACCATCAAGGGCCTCGACATCACACTAATGACCGGATTTTGACGACATGCTATCTTTCTCTTCTGTGCACATGACTTTCTGGACTCTATGGAACTACAACTTGCAACCTCGAAACGGCATTGTGGGCACCATATGAAAAGCGAGCTTGTGCGTGCTCGATACCTTCCCCTGGTTAGATGGACCCAAAACAAAAGACGGGATTGGAATCTGTGGGTTGGCAATAAGAGCCTTTGTGGTATTTGGGTTTCTTCAACTAGGCCACGAATCGAACGGTATGGATATCCCTCCAGGGGCTTGTACAGGCGTTATGGCGCACGGCCGGATGAGGGCGAGGTGGTACGAGCAACCTGCGGACTCTGCCAATCTGCAAGTATTTCGGGGGCGGGTTTGGGCCTGGAATACCCCGACATTTCCTTCTTCTTTCTCGATCGATCCGGATCACGACAACGGCAAGCAACACGATCGACACCCGTTGTCGGTCAGAGTCGGTTTTTAGAAACATACCATATGTCGATGATACATGGGCGGATGGTACGTGACTGAAGAGCTTGGGTTTCTGAACTTTTACGAATCGCGAGACTGCAAATTTTGCAATGGACAAAATGAAACGAATCGTGATTGAGCTACTTGATTTTAGCAGGAAAGAGTCCGCATTTTAAGCGATGAGACGAGCAGTAAAGAAAAAGATAGCCAGGAAGAAATAACAGAGGATTCGATCTTCGGTGTAGTGAAGGCTTTTGCTGTTCCTTGTTGCTCTTCTGTGTGCCCACTGCCTGTGTCGGATTTCTCATAGGCACACGGCGAGAGTCCGGTTTGCGAGAGCCTGCGCCAGTCCTTGCTTCTGCAGTGGGCGAGAACAGTTCCGTATGCACAATGCAACTAGGTAACCTGGGTTAGTATGTGGGTTAGTATGTGGATGGACAGGTTGGTAGCGGGTACCCCGAACTCCGTACCTTGCATCGTCCGCGAATCTAGGCATGTAGGTACCTACACAGTACGGACTACTCGACGAAAGATTCGTCATCGCGAAACGAACCTTCAAACCCCCTCCCTTCCTTCCGGCGGGCCACCTGCCACCATACGTGTGCATGCGCACTAACTCAAACAGCTAAGGGAAAGTAAGGTAATACGGACGGAGTAAGTACCGAGTTAGTATATGCTTTAACTGTACCTACTTAGTTCTCGCTCGGTATAGTCATCCACACCTATTCTGCAGATAAGGGGTGGACATAGATAGATATATAAGCAAACGCCTAGCTGGCTAGGGATACGGTAGCGTATGTAGCGAGGACTTTCGAGGTATCAGCGTCAAAAGCATATAAGCTGTATCTAGGTATGTATTCCGCAACCCTCGGGCCATATACATGGTACATGGGTAGACCCTTCGAGAGGGCCACGCAAGCCGGGTCGGAGTACTCGGTACGAGGACTGGGTATGAGGACGATGCGGTTTCATGCCTCCTGCTCCCTTCTCCTCCCTCCCCCTCCAGACCTAGACCTAAAGCCAGGATAGACTACTCAAGACATGAGAATGTCGACGGTCCAGACCAGAGTAAAAGGAAATTACGGAGGCATTCTGCACAAGTTTCAGACAAGCTTCGGAGCATACGTCGTGATATTTGAAACATGGGCTTTTTGGCTTGACCGTGATGACAGCCATACTTAAAATGATTCCTTCCCTTCTAGTCTATTCAGGATTCCAAATTATCCCACCGACATGCCAAACCCCTCCCTGTAAAGTGAAAGAAGGGAAGAAACGCTCGAACGCTTCAACCGTCGTAACATGGAAAGCACAATGTCTTTCCACAGTCCCAAGGCACATGTTGGTGTTGAAGCACAGAAAAGAGAAGGAAGACAAGCAAAGAGATTCGTTATCGCCCTGCTAGAATAGGTTGGTTCTGTGCACTGTACGACCCTGGGTTGTAACTCGTGTTGTAATCATGAATACCCAGTCCAGTATGGTTCAGTGGACTCGTCGGCTGTGCGGCCGGCATCTGTGCGAGGTCATTGTCGTGGTCGTTTTGGCGGATCGGGGCATATGCATCATCGAGAGAAGGCTTCTGATATGCGTATTCTTGCCTTCCACCCGCACCGGGGTGTTCATCGAAGTCCTCATCATCATTCCGCAGATTACTTGAGAACGCGTCCTGCGTCTGCGCAGAGAAGTCGTTCTTGCCTCCGGAACCAGGCAAATTTTGAGGCATCATTCCCGTCCTCTTGAACGTCATAACGGCTCGAAAAGAGATAAATGCCGTAGCGACGAACAGCAGCATTTCAATCACGCCAAACACGATGATGGTCTCAGACAGCTTGCAACGCCCGGGACTGCCGTACTTAAAATTATCGCAGCCTGTAGCGTTCTTATCCGTGCTCTTCCCTTTGCCCTTCCCCGCAGAGACGTAGCTGGCAACAGCAGCCCAAGCACTAAGCCAGAAAATCACGGCCAGAGAGTCAAGCGCGGCGAAAGCATAGACGTTGGAGAAGCGGCGGGCGCGGGACCACATGGGGACCATTACGAGGTAGATTAGGATGGGTATAGTGAGCCAGCACTGCAGGTAGATTTGCATTAGTTTGAGGTCAAGACCGGACGGACTGGCAGTGGGTGAGGGGACTCACCAGGCCAAAGTACCAGCCGACTCGGCCATCCGTTGTGCCAGGCCTCGTGAGTAAGGCGATTGTAAGAACCCAGGCAAGGAAGAGGACGGCCGCCTGGCCCATGTGAATGTAATTCTTGATCTGGCCGAACTGGTCTAGTTGGAGCCTCATCTTTGCTCGCGATGCCTCAAACTCGGGTTGTGCGAGAGAAGAGACTCGAGGCAGTGGATATCCCAAGGGCGTTCGATGAGCCGCAGTTCAGAAGAAGGGCGCAGCTAAGGCTGGCAAAGTTGCGATGTGTTTGCCTTGGTTGTGTTACTTTCGGCTTGGGTGAGATATGAGGTCAGGCCGAAGGGCTGTTGTTCGTAGGGCGAGGACAAGTCGGGCCGTTGCTCAAAAGGGAAAGAAAGACCAGCAAAGGGTAGGTATACAGATAGCAAACGACTACGGAGTACTGTACAAGGAATCGAAAGGAGTGACGATATTGAGACGAGGCAAACGGGGGGCTTAGGAAGCGGTCACAACAGATCAAAGACACGGGGCAGCAAGAACCGAGACGCGAAAGATGGGGCGCAGCGGCTGTGTGGCGTTCTAGTCTGTGTAACTCGTAAGGCTGAGGCTCGTCGTGGCGCTTCAATATTCGACTCGAGTGTTTTCAATTACCTCCTCCTATCTACGATATATACTCCGTACTTATATCAGTCCGAACTTCGAGATGGTGTTCATGGACTATACCTCCTACCTACCGAGCTACCTTCCTGGCATGCTCCAAGTCGACAGGTTTCTTGCTGGGAACGCTTCGTGTCCATTCTCATTGGTCACAACCCACTTGCTGCGAGTGGAACGATCCCTACCGCATGGCCCCAGAACGCTCTGGGATTGGCACGACCGGTGCCCCGAGACTCCAAAGGCCCAAGACCTGCATACAGATGGGGTTCATAGATTGGCATTCGGATCAAGGCTGGGGGATTTCGTGAACAGCCCTCCTCTTTACTTCCACCAAACATTGCCCGGCACCTATAAACCAGGTGCGATGCCTGTTGACGACTCTAGAGAGGCAATGCACAATAGGGTCGCCACACCGGCTGATCTGTCCCAGGGCTTTGACTGCCTTGTGCAAGTGGTGGAAGGCAGGCACGAAGGGGTAATTGCTGGCACAGGCTCCTTAACAAGGCTGATTGATTTGCACATGAAAGGTTGCTGGTGTTGTTTGCTCCCTCTTGTGGCTGTCACCTAGGCTTCCTCCCTTAAACCAAACGTTGGCGTTAGGCGTTGGGCCCAGTGACATTCACACGTCTATTGTTCGTGAATAGCCGTCTCGGGCGTGATTGGCGTGCCATTTTCTGCAAGGCATCTCTCTCGCAGAAGCCAGTACGTCGGTATTGTGCGGGTCAAAGGGGGCGCCTGCTGTCAGGTACAAACTGCGCATGCAAGCAATAAGTGAACAGTGGAGAATCAGGAGTGAAGACTAGCTGCACTGGGGAAGGAGCCATCACTTTGGGCACGCGAGACGAGCGCAGGGAGCGTTGGTGGTGTGAATCTTCCAGTGGCGAAAGTCTGACATTAATGCCTGTTGGGGCCTTGGGGCCTACTGGGCCTACATGGTATTAGGTGTTTTCTCAAGTAGTATTCTTGGGGCCTGTTAACATCCGTTAGCGCCACCGGATGTCGCCCGCGCTTGCCCTTTTTCGGTTCGCTCCCGCTGGCTGGGGCCCGCCGATTCGTCACTTCCGCATGACTAAATTGCGCCCACCGCTACTGCCGCTAAACAATTTATTTTCTTCTCGGCCTGCAGTCAAAAAGGCCCCTTTGGAATTTCCCTTCCTTTTGTTTCTCATCAACCAGTTCATCCTTCAACTGATCACAACCCGAGCTCATCTTCAAACAATCCTTTGAATCTAGGGCACCCAGCTACCCTTCCCACCCCTCCGTCAATTGATTCCCAAGGCAGCCTCTAGCTACCTGAGTCAAGTTCCCTTCCACAAGTCCACATTTTTAACCACTTGTCAACTCATCCAACTTGTGCCTCAGCCACAATGTCTACTGCCGTCGACAACCTTGCCGAAAACCTCAAGAACGCCAGCCTTGAGGATACCTCTGCTGCCAACAACGAGAGCGTTCTGGCCTCCGCAGCCGAAGGTCGTCGATTGTACATCGGGAATCTCGCTTATGCGACCACTGAGGCGGAACTCAAGCAGTTCTTTTCTGGCTACGATGTGTAGGTGGCAACTGTCGGGATTTTCCATCCGTCCGTGTGATTAATCTTGTTGCAACAGCGAGTCAACCTCCATTCCTGTCAACCCCCGCACCAACCGCCCCGTCGGCTACGCCTTTGTTGATCTGAAGACTGCTGAAGAGGCGGAAAAGGCCATCGAGAACCTGTCAGGCAAGGAGATCCTTGAGCGCAAGGTCTCTGTCCAAGTTGCCCGCAAGCCCGATCAGGCCGCAACCCCTGAGGGTACCGCCGAAGGTGCTGAGGCTGACCGTAAGAGAGCCGCTGGACGCGGTCGTGGTGGCCGCGGACGTGGCCGAGGTGGTCGTGGCCGTGGAGGTGCAAGGGGCACTGCTGTACGTGACGCCAAATGTCTGCGACCTGAAGAACGGATGACTGACTCATTACAGGAGGCTGGTGCGCCTGCCACCGAGCTCGCAGAGACCCCCCTGCCCTTGACAGACGTCACTGCTGAAGCCAACAAGGCCGCTCCCGCAGCTGACGCTAAATCTCGAACTCCTCGTCCCCCCAAGCAACGAGGTCCTCCAGAGGATGGCATCCCGTCCACCACCAAGGTCATGGTTGCCAACTTGCCCTACGACCTTAGCGAGGAAAAGGTATGGACCGCAGAAGCCAAACAGTTGGTCGCATGCTAACCTTCGTTTAGCTCAAGGAACTCTTCGCCGCCTACCAACCCAGCTCTGCCAAGATTGCTCTGCGTCCGATCCCACGGTTCATGGTCAAGAAACTTGCTGCCCGCAACGAGCCTCGCAAGGGCCGTGGCTTCGGCTTCGTCACACTTGCGTCCGAGGAGATGCAGAAGAAGGCTGTTGAAGAGATGAATGGCAAGCAGATTGAGGGTCGCGAGATCGCTGTCAAGGTCGCCATCGATAGCCCAGGAAAGGAAGATGGTGCTGAGACGACTGAAAATGGTACCAACGGCACGACCGAGGAGGTTGCTGCTGCTTAAGTGAAGAACGCTAGCACAGACATTGACCGACAAATGCACGCGACAAATGCACAAAGATGAAGGAAAGACGATATCCTTTTAGCAAGGCATGCTTTTATTGGCAAGGAATGGGAAGGCTTAACTGCTTTTTCCAACTGCAGCTCGAAGAGGTGATGCCTGAGGCTGAAATATCGGAACGACTAGTCAAGGAAGGTTGATGGATCAGCCCACGCGACAACCATATCTTTCTTGCCTAGGTGGCTGTATCTTCCAATACCTTAATATTATCCACTACCAAAAGTTCACAGCCCTGTTCCTTGTGATCGGAATTGAACTCATTTCCTTTCTCGGCGGCGGCGGTTTCAATTCCCCTGAATAGCAAGTGCAAGGACAGCGACCCATCTCGCCATGTAACAAGAACGGCGAGACGGTTGCGCTCAACTTTATATACCGCAGTACGGAGAAGTTTAATATTGGATCATCTCCCTGTCCGCCCAAACGGGGCCTTCCCATAACACCCCTGAATCCTAAACCCCTTCTATCAATCCCATTTTTCCCCTTGATGCTTACTTCAACAAAAGTCATCTTCCGTTTCAAGAGCTGAGTAGCCCTTGCCTTCGAGATATACCATGTCTAGTTATCTGCCCTCTGACGGGGAAAGTGAATTGGGGGTTCACTGACAAGCATACCAAAGAAACAGCGCTCAATTCCAGAAGGCGATCGTATTGAAGAGACCCAAGGACCAGTCACTGCCGTGGGCAATTTCAGTCCCCAAGATTCCAGCGCTATAGCTTGCTAACTGCGTTGACAAGTGCATTACCTGTTGCTGTAGCACTCATAGGGTTCTGCCCGGTAATCAGTCGTCCGCCCTTCGACACGGCGACACACTCGCCCCAAGGCCTGTCTGCTTTAACATACTTCCCATTACTGATTTTGTTAAGCTCCGTCTCCAGCATGAACGGCATGAACTGGGATAACCCAATTTGATCCTCCTCGTCGTTGGAGAAGCCTGTCACCTCTGCATCTGCCACCAGGTAGCTGCCATCCGAGAGTTTGACGTTGACCAGGGCAGCGGAACCATGACAGACGGCGCCGACAACTTTGCCGCTTTCGAAAAATTCTCGAATGAGCTGGATCGAGTCTGCATCTGTTGCAAGGTCGTACATCGCTTCTCAACTTTTAGCAGGGTGGAGTGGTATCGACCCGAAGAAAACACGATACGACTTACGACCATGGCCTCCCACATAGAAGATGGCGGCGAAGTCTGGGGCCTTTCCCACGAAATTTGAGAGCTTCTCTGTGTTTTTCCAGAGAGCAGATTGCCTCTCCCAGAACTGACTAGAAACCTCGTCCTGCTTCCAGCTTTCGACCGAGCCCGGGTCAACAGGTGCTGCACCGCCGGCTGGGGATGCTACAGTGATATCCGCGACCTGTTGCAGTTGGTGATACGGGTGTGCGAACTCGGGCTATGGATTATAGGTGAGGACTTCCACGCACATGAAACGTGGAAAGGCTAACTCACTAGATACCAGCCTGTAGGCTTGCCGGACGTGCCCAGTGCGCTGTGAGATGTTAGGACGAAGAGTACACGCGGCTTTGAGACCGACATTGCAACGAAAGGTTCAGACAAGACCAAGAACACGTCTGAGGGGAGGATGTTTGATGATTCAAAATTGAACCCCCAGTTGCAAACAACCGCCTTGGTTTATATTGCTGAGGTCCTGAGGGGCAACCACCTGTCCATGCCTGTCCGGCAGAGATTAACTCCTTTGGAGTCGGCTTTGATGTCGTGGTAATCAGCAAGGAGCCAAGGGCCCTGGATCAAATTCAGGCCTCGATTCACAGAACCCAGACGATTCATGCTCCAGCCAGCAACAGTAACATCGGTTTGTCATTATCGAGCCTTTGTCGAAAATCGATTTCCCCATCCAATAAACCTCTCATCCGTAAGTTGCGAGTGGAGTTTGGGTGATGTACCTAGGAACCTCAACCCTGCAGAGCGGAGCTTCCGTGATGACACGTCGCCCTTCGGATGGTATCCGTCCTCTGCGTGTTGCAAAACGCTATGATATGTTTTCCATGGTGTAGAAGATCAATCGGGTTGAGACTATCACGACACATTTTGGTCATTGCTCGGGGCGGTTCGGTTCAACTGCTTCACCTTGGAATTTGTGAGGCATTGAATAGAAGACCAGATCGATCTCCTTGAACTGTAACATCTCTTGGCCGAGCCCAACATATGTCGCCACAGCAAGGGGTTTTCTCGGGATATGGCCCGCGACGGTACTCAGCCTTGTCCGCAAAGCATGCAATACGTCAACGGATCTGCCGCGTTGAGCAGTAATAGGATGTTTGCAACGAATTCTTCGGCAAACGAATTCATTACGTTAGCAGCAATAACACCACATTCGAAGACGCTGACAAATCGGGCCTTCCGCAGGATAGCGGGAAGCATCCATGTTAAATCGGACTGCATCCGTCAAGTCTCATCTTCATTGCGCAGGTAGCAACATGAACGATGCCGCAGTTGAGACAGCTGATGTCTCACCCAGTCAACACCCACAACGGCCGTGCAAAGCGCGATCACGTATCAGCGCCGCCTGCGTGCGATGTCAGAAGCGGAAAATTCGGGTAGGTTCTCTCGCTTCTGGTGCTTTCACCCCCAGAACGAATACTAGCTGTTCCGCCTGTACACGGAATAATGACGGGTCACTAGTGTGATGGAGCATTGCCGGCTTGTGGTGCATGTCGAAAAGCAGGAGCTAATTGCGTGGGCGGGGGAACATCTCGCGATATCCCTCGAAGGTGAGCCAGCTGCCCAGATTGGATTATCCCCTAGAATTAATCGCCTGCTATTCAGCTATGTGCACGACTTGGAGGCCCGAGTTGCTTGGCTCGAATCCATTGTTCGGGAAAATGTGCCCAGTGTCGACCTGAACGGAGGGCCACGTTATCGATCCCATGGCACACCTACCAGTCGATCTAGGGAGGCTGATCTATCTCAGTCTCAGCATGAAGATGGGGCTCACGACAGCTATTCTCAGGACGACGAGTCACTTAGCGATATCACTCATCAGATTGGACTCGTCTCCGTCGCCACGGGAACAGATCTCCGCTACCTGGGCCCTTCCAGCGGCTTGTTTTTCACCAGATTCGTCTTAGCCGGACTGGGACGAAAGATTCAAGTTGAGAAACAGTACCCGCCTGAACCTACGAGGGATCGTTTCTCGATCCCCGCCGATCTTCTTATCATTCGACCCCAAGAGCTGCCGTCAGATCACAGACATGCGCGGTGGTTGTCGCAGGCGTATTTCGAAAGCGTTCACATGCAATTTCCCTTCCTGCATGAAGCTACATATATGGAAATCCTCGGACAACTGTATGCTGGTGCTGAAGTCGGGCCGACATGCGAATTTCAGGTTTTCATGGTCCTGGCAATCGGTGCCACCATTCTGGCGCGCCGAGCCAAAGTACCACTATGTGCTGAAGGCTACTGCGCTTCTGCAATGAGTCGGCTCGATAGCATCTTCCAAAAGGCGTCTTTCACAGGGGTTCAATGCATCTTGCTTCTGCAGATGTATACCATGAACAATCCATCCTCTGGATTGAGTCTCTGGTCGCTTCATTACCATTGTCTGGCATGGACAATAGAGCTGGGTCTGCAGCGCAATGCTCCCGGAAACTTATTTTCTGTTTTCGAGCAAGAGCTGCGAACCAGAGTTTTCTGGTGTGTTTACACGATTGATCGCATCCTGTGCACTATCATGGGAAGACCGCTCGGCTTGATGGACGAGCAATGCGATTTGACGGTGAGCTCTACGACCCTGATCGTAACTGTTTGCCAACCAGGACTAACTCCCGCAGTTGCCTTTGGATACCAACGACAAGGATCTTGAATCGAGCCAAACACAGCCCGGTCAGAGAGTTGACTCTCTGACGAACCTGTCCAGTGCAATCCACCTCTTCAAACTTGCAAGATTCAACTCGGAAATAAAATGTGTATTGTACTGTGTCGGTCGACAATACCCACCGTACACGCAACCATCTACCAGTGACGTCGCTCGATGGAGAGAGGACATGTTGAATCGACTTCGGAAATGGAAGGAGGATATCCCGCAACAGCCAGAAGGCAGCGAACGACGTTATATGAATCACCTCTGCGAAATCAAATACCACGAGCTCATCATGCTGGTTCTCCGGCCGAACCCTGTTTTCCAGCATCCCACCAAGGCAGCTCTCCGCGAATGTTTTGCAAGTGCCATGAAGTGCAGCAAGCTCTACCACAGACTCTACACCGCCAACACGCTTCATTACAGTTGGATTAGCGCTCATTCGCTTTTCCTCTGCGTTATCACCATGTTTTACTGTGTCTGGACGCCTAATGGGATTGCTGATGAAGTCGAAGTCGACACTCTTGTGAGAGCTCTAAAATCGACCTCCGACATTCTTAGCGCTACAGGGGAGTATTGGCCAGAGGCAAACAGGAGTCGTGATGTGTTGGACCGCATCTCAGCGGCGACAATGTCACGATTTAACCCGAAGCACTGTGGGGCGCAGAGCGACAAACTAGACCCAAGATCACAGCCCACGCCGCAGATCTCGACAAACTTGGAGTTAGGACGACCAAGCGATGCCATTGACGTCGACCTGATCTCTCCCGACTTCCAGCCGCTCCAGTTCGGGAACTCAAGTATAGGCAACGGATACTTGTCCCCGTTCTACGAGGTACAGGCCGACTCTTTCACAACCACCGACATGCTGTCATACTTCATGGGCTCTGGCGGAGATGGCAGTACGAACAGTGCTCAGATGATGGGGGAGGACTACCCCAGCGTGGACGAAGTGATACAGAACTTCTTTGGCGACGGCCTCCAGGAAACCGGGCAAAATCAGTAAATGAACTGGTTCCAAAAGAGAGCGGGAGAGGTGACCTGGCGCCAAAAATCCATTATTTGCCAATGTACAGCAATATCGTGTTAGATCCAAGAGTCGTGGTCGTCTGTCGTGCGTTCAAAAGGCTTGCAGTACACCGCTGATGCTATGTGGTTGAGGCAGGTCACATGTAAAAATACAGTGACTCCTAAAATGAACCCTTTCTCTGCAGATTCACCTCTTCTACTTTTGCTATATCCCCTTGCCACAGAAAAGCGATGTTCAGCCGGTAAAGTACAATATCGAGTGACGAGTCCAACCCGCAGTTCGACTTCGGGTCTCTTTCTCGAAACCTGCTTAGGAGGGATTACTCAACCAAAGTCCGTTTCCACTCTGCCAGCATTGAATCAGGAACAACGTCATATAGTTTGCGGGAGGCTCCGGCCTGGAGACGGGATCTCTCTGTCAAGCATTCTCCGAAGTCTCCCGCCAGCATAGTGTCTGGAATTTCATCGACGGGTGTGACCCGCCTCCGCTCTCGATACCTTTGTCATCCCTCGTTTGTGGGGTACCGCTCTAGCCGTTCCCTGATGGCTATTGTGATGTTGGCTGCCGGCCGTGCGGCGTAGCATACAGACACGGACATGTATATATTAGCAATGTGTCTCCTCGTCCCAGGGTTTTTCGGTTCCGCAATTGTCCCTTGTACTTTAATCTCTTATTTCTACCAAAGTCTGACAAACAACCTGAAGCACCGTCACCAGAAATGGCTGCCAGCGCTCCCTCCAAGTCTGTCGTGATAAACGGCAAGGAGATATCGATCCCCACCGGCCTCTTCATCAACAACGAGTTCGTCAAGGCGCTTGGCGGGAAAACCTTTGAAGTTGAGAACCCAGCCACTGGGAAAGTGCTCCTGTCGATCGAAGAAGGCCAGGCCGAAGATGTTGACCTGGCGGTGAAGGCAGCCAGAAAGGCTTTTGACGGCGGATGGGCTGATTCGGATCCCGCATGGAGAGCGTCGCTGTTGCACCGCCTGGCCGACCTGATGGAGAAGAACCGGGACGAGATCCTCGCCGTCGAGATGGTCGACAGCGGTAAGCCTCTCAATCAAGCATCGACCGTCGATCTTCCGGGCTCTATTGGCACTCTGAGGTACTATGCAAGTTGGGCAGACAAGGTCTATGGAAGGACCGCCGCGACCGTCCCCGGGACTTTCGCATACACGGTCCGAGAGCCCATTGGAGTGTGCGGACAAATCATCCCCTGGAAGTACGTATCTTGCCTATGTCTCTTGGGGAGGAAATGGACGCTGACAGATCACCCCCCATACCAGCTTCCCACTTATGATGTTCATCTGGAAGATTGCCCCTGCTCTGGCAACAGGCAACACGATCGTGATGAAGTCGGCCGAGAGCACGCCGCTGTCGGCTCTCAAAATGTGCGAGCTCATCCGCGAAGCTGGATTTCCGCCCGGCACGGTCAACCTAGTGTCTGGTTTTGGTCCGACGGTGGGCGCCGCTATCGCGAACCACATGGACATTGACAAGGTCGCGTTCACGGGGTCCACTGCGACGGGACGAGTAATTCTCAAAGCGGCGGCATCCTCGAATCTCAAAAAGGTCACGCTCGAGCTCGGGGGCAAAAGCCCGGTAAGCCCGCCCTCTCTGCTCCCACCTCTCGCCGTCTCTCGGGGAAAGAGGATGAAATTGACGTGCCACAGAACATCGTTTTCCCCGATGCAGACCTGCAGAAAGCAGTGGACTGGTCGGTCCTCGGCATCGACTTCCATGCCGGCCAGGTGTGTCATGCTGGCACCCGCATCTATGTGCATGAGGATATATACGATGCCTTCCTCGCGGCTTTCACCAAGAAGATGGCCTCAATCAAGGTTGGAAGCAACTTCAGCAGCGAGACGGATCAGGGTCCCCAGATCAACAGGTCTCAATACGACAAAATCCTCGGGTACATTGACATTGGGAAGAAAGAAGGGGCGACGCTCCACCTTGGAGGTAACCCGGTCTCCAAGGACGGCGGCTACTTTATCGAGCCCACCATTTTCACGGACGTGACTCCAGAGATGAAGGTACGCACAGAACCTCACCTCCTCCTCTGAGGAACAGGCTGCTGGTCCTATCCACCCTGCACCAAAGCTAACGGTGCCGTGTTTGCAGATCGTGAAGGAAGAAATCTTCGGGCCCGTGGTCGTCATCGCCAAGTTCAAGTCCGAGGACGAAGTGATCGCGGCCGCCAACGACACCAGCTACGGCCTGGCCGCGGGCGTGCACACGAACGACTACCAGCGCGCGCTGCGCATCACCAAGAAGCTGAGGGCCGGCACGACGTGGGTCAATATGTTCAACTTCCTGCACTGGAGCATGCCCTTCGGCGGATACAAGGAGAGCGGTATCGGGCGCGAGCTCGGCGGCGAGGCCCTGGACAATTACACCCAGGTCAAGAGCGTCTTTTTCAATATGGGCATCCCGACTCCCACCCACACTTCTTTTGTAGCCTAGGTGTCGAAGACAACAGATTGCAGGAAGAGCGGCATGTGTGGGGATTATAGAGGGGACCGAGATATAACATATGAAGCATCAGGCGTTCTGTTTGAGCTGGCTGGTGGCATTGAAGGTGAATCTAGGAACGAAATCAATATCTTATGTAACATACAATGATTTTCGTAGGTCAACAATAACTAGACTTGATTATCTGAAGGAACAGCTACTACTACCTCTCTGTTGCAAGGCTTTGCAGGGCAAGGCTGTGGGGGAAAAGGAGGTGGGGACTAACCGAGTTCGACGCCCCTCCCCGGCACCAAACCGGGCAAACCGGGTAAGTGCGGCAATATCCCGGGTGGTACGAATAGGGGAGTTGGTTACCAAACTGCGTCGCCTCTGATCTCGGTGTCGTCTGTCGCTTGTCAATAGTCCCCAGTACAAGACTGTATTCTCACGTCATTTCAACGATCATGCTCTGCTTCCCGCAGCGAAGGCATAGGAAAACCGGCTCGGTGCTGACCGCGGTGCGGTTAAAGAACGCACAGTCCGCCCTGATGACCCATCCCCTTCGTAATGCAGATTGGTCAACCCCCCTCGCCGAGGGCTTCAGAAAAGCCAGATCGAGACCTTTGGGTTTATTTTGACAGATGGCGCATGACTACCCCGTCCTTGTGTCAGGTTTCTGACCTTGGACTGTTAGCACATCCGTCAGCGGCCTGAACGGGGCGGCCTGAATGATACTATATTCCCGGCGAGGCAACCCGCATCAGATGGCGTCAGCCTCACCACCTTCCAGTCGGTCCCGTCTTAGAAAGGGTGAGTTGCCCAAGGAATAGCTTTCAGGCATCTCGTTACACTACCAAACGAGTGCCTGTGTGCCTCACTGACCGACAATTACCTGTCTTGAAGACCCGTGAGGCAGTCTGGTAAGGCCAGGTCAGCGGAGGTCAATGGTGAGCATGCCTCAGCCTCCCCAGGATCACTTGCTTGTCGATGTCCACCCCGGTCCTCAAGATCTCCGGGATGGAAACGAGGTGAAAAATATCCGAGACTTTGGACCGAAGGACACGATGCGCATGGCCAGGGCAGCTAACTAGCATCGGTCTGCCGACATGACATTTTATTGAATATGGACGATCAGAAGAAAGAAGCTGGGCGATAGTAGGATTTGATGGTAGCCATGACAGATGGAGCGCTTGCCCAGAGTCGAATCAGGCACAAGCGAAGAACGCCCCTGGACTTTGGTTCTTTTCCACACCTGCACCGCTCAAACTTTGCTAACGTCAGTTACTGGAGACATTCTCGTCTAGCCTGCAAGACGGTGGTCAACAACGCGATGCGTAAGCCAAGTTATTGTGAGAAAGGTTGTCGAATCGCCATCAGCTGATTGACAAGAGGACATTGATTGGCGATCAGGGTTGTCGTTGTCGCGATCCTAGCTAAGACTGACCCCGTGTCGTTTGCAAGCTGAAAATCAGACCACATGCCTGTTTGGCCTCGATCCAAAGTCCTGCTTGAGGCCTTCATGTGCAATGTGCGCGATGGAGGCGGTTGATCCCTCCTCTACCAAACACGAGCTCGAAACAGGTGTCATTTAAGACCTCGAGGACTGCCCTCCGTCTCTCCTCTCCTTCCAGACACAATCCACTTCACCCAATATTGAGGCATTTGATAGCAGCCATGGCAACACAGACCGTCTTGAACGGAGTCAACGGAGTCAGTGGACACTCCCAACCCCCTGAGGTCTCGATGCCGTCGATCCATCTGCCGTCCAACTTCAGGATCCAACCACAAGATGAGAGGCTCAAGCGTGGTTTCGAGCCAGGCAAGCCCCTTCTCCCACCGGCCTCCCCTCCGAGCACAACAATTCCACCGCTCAGCGTGCTTTCAAACTTCAGCGGTACGTTCCACGGGACTGGCTTCAACACTATATTCCGACCGAACAATGGAACCAGTAGTAACACCACGTTTCCCAACCCTGTCTCTCCGGCCCCACCGGCAGTGCCGAATGACAATACCCTGGAGCTCAATTTGACCCAGGAGACGTTGGCCTTCGACCAGGCTCTCGGCAACGTTCCAAACCGTGGTTTTGGCACACAGGGCGACATCTTCCTCAACGGTGTACCCTACCGCCAGACCATCAACGATGTGTCCAATCCTGCCACCGGTAAAGGAGATGGTACTCCCTCTGGTATCCATTTTGAGCCAGGACTGTGGATGCACATCCCAGCCACCACTTCCGACCCCGTTGTTCCCGAGTCGCTGAACCGTATGGGCTCAATCCCCCATGGGACCACGATTAACGCTCAATGTCTTGACCCCACGTCCACTGTCGGCATTGTGGATGGACCACCGACAATTCCAGCGGTGAATATCACACCATCCGCCCTCGTGTCTGGAAAGTCGATCCCCTTCCCTTCTCAAACGGCGGCCAGCACAGACACAGCCCGCTTACCACAGGACCTTACCAAGTTCATTGCGGCTGGCACTATCACCCAGGCCATACTCACCGATCCGGCCACCGTCCTACGCAACGCCATCGTGGGCCAGAAGATTACTAACACCATCTTCTTCACTGTCTCAACCACTCCAGCGACACCTGAGCTCGGCGGCGGCACTGCGAACACCGGGTTCCTGATCGGAGCCAGTACGGGCACAAACACCGGTCCCAATGCCCAAGCGACGGCGATGACGGCGACCTTCTGGATCGAGACCGTACAATACGAGCTCCGAGTCCCGGCCTGGAAACCAGGGCATCCCGCCATGATCATCCAGGCGCCGGTTCCAGCGGGGAATACCAGTGGTGTCCCCACGCCAACGTTCCTGGTCCACCCGCCATACGAGATCCCCAAGCCGCAGACGATCACGGTCTCGGCGACTCAGATCCAGTACTCGCAGCTCGTCAATCTCGTGTTTGCGGGGCTGGTCTGGCCGCATTCGTCCCATGCGACGTTGGTGCCTCTGGATCCTGTGCCTGTCCCGGCCTCGGCGTTCGGCAAGGTGAAGTAGGGAGTGGCCCGCTAGTTGTAGGTAATGGTGGGAGGCATAACATGGTGAAGCTGTAGCGAATGGAGAGAAGGGAGGCGGGGAGGAGTGTCAGAGAAGGAAGAAGAGTGATGTTTTTTAGAATATGCGCTTGCTCAAACGCATCTTGGAACCGCCTTCAGACAGCCTCTCATATTAGCGGGCAGCGAGCTCAAGCACCCAACTGACTCTCCTTCAAGTTTCTTTTAAACCACACCTGCCTATGTATAGAGCAAGAATTGTTCTGTAATCATGAAGACGCGTTCTTGAAGCCCATACACCATGTATTTCAACTTCGGGTGTGCACTAAGCAGCCTGGCCGGAAGGTCCACGGAGTCCCGCCAGCCTAGACAGGTCCCTAGGGGGCGTTGTTGAACAAGTAACTCTGCCGACACATCACGGCGGTGGGATCCGGTGTCCGGTATCTAGCGGCTAGTTATCCTACGACCGTCCCACCAGCATGCTAATATATCCTTGTAGACGATCTGTGGTGTCAGTTCAAATCAGGCCTTCAGCGAACCCAGTGCGCAGGCTGAGAGGCCAATATTGTCGATGTGTTGGGCTGTTTGTTATTGCCATGGAAGAGCTGCAGACCGCAAATTGGTCACTTGTATTTGGAGGGAGAGTTGTGGATAGCCTTGAATGGAAATATGGCGCAATTGCAGTTACCACAAAGGCTGCAGACTTAAGGAGATGTGTTCGTTTGGATGTTCATGGGCATCAGGTGTGAGCAACGCCAAAAGACAAAAAGACCGCGTGTAGGAGTGAGTCGACATCGGACGGATGGCCTTTGAGAATATGTCGTTGTCGCGTAGCCATTGTGAGATCTTGTCTTGGGCCCCGATTTTCGACCAGTTTTGGTTTTCATTTGGTTGTAAACAAACTCCTGAGGGTCAGTGCGGAATCCGGCATGGAGGCATGATCTCCTGGCATCGTCCCAAACGCGTTCGGTGGGGGCTGTTTGCTTGCCGCGTAGAGGGTATTGACCTTGATAAAGACCATGACTGACGTGTTTTGTCGCAGGCATGGATATAGCTTGGTTCACCAGTCCACTTTCAGCCAATTCCTACTTCATTCTCGAATGGGCTGTGAGAACTTGGGAATTTGAGAAAAGATTCGGTGAAACATTTTGACCGAGTCTCATTCTTACCCTGCCCTTTCAGGGATGAGTAAAGTGATCGCGAATTCACCCCGGCCGGTCTCTCTCTAGGCTCTCGGATTTGAGCTTTCTTCCTTGGATGGCCTCCGTTCCCGCTGTTACCAACGAGGCAGATGAGGCATCAGATCGAGCAGGTCTTTAGGACACTGCCTGCGACAATCACACGCATCCTTTGTGAGCGAGCCTGGATAATGGCGACGACCTACTGAGACAATCCAACGGAGAAGCAACTCGGAAGTCGTGGAGAGAACAGGAGCTCTCGAGCTGTTGGCGACGGTTGGTGAGGCCCAACCTTGGAGGGCAGGTGACCCGAGCATGTGATGACCTGTGGGCTCTCCACCCACTGTATATCGCCCCGCCAACTTCCGGGAAATAGCTGCAGTATGAACCCAAGGACCGAGTACTTGGTAGCCATCAATCAATTCTATTCGAAACCTTTCACCCTGCAATTGGCCCCGGTGTTTCCGACTGCTTCAAGTCCCAACATTCTCTAGCTACGGGGTTTCGTTCAGAACAGGCGAAGGCATCGACGATCTTAACCACGACCTACTTGTGTGTTGCTGAACAATCGGTCGATGCCCTTCCGCCATTTTATTATTTTCACCGGTGACTCAGGTGCAGTGCGCTGCGTGATGCACCAGGGCTCTGTCCTATTTGCTCGGACACTTCGACCACATGCGACATGGCGGCCTCGTTATTCATCAGACTGCATCGAGTGATTAGGGGCGAGGAGATGAGAGGCTGGCGAGCGGCACATATCCTGGTTCATCCCTCGCACGAAGGGCTTCGCTGGGACCTACCCAGGGCCTGCCTGGCATTCCGAGACTCGCCTCGCTCTTACTGCGCCGGGTAAAAGTGGGCGGGCTTACTATGCCGGGTAAATGTGGGCGACAAGCAGCCACCAAGACCCAGCCATTTCGCTACTACAATCATCCAGCGAGCCTACGGGAGAGCGAGCACAGAGCGAGCATCCATGCTGAAATGGCCCCGGAGCCCCTTTAGGCTATATTCAGCGACCGATTCATTCGCGAACCTTTGAAATTCATGCAAATACTTCGCACTTATTCCAAGTACCGGGGTAAAGGTATGCTAGGACAGACTGATGTACAACTTGATCGATGCAACTACTCGGAGCCACTCAGAAACAAGCCCGTGTACACGTCATGGCTCGATGCGGAGAAAGGTGCAGTATAGTCAGTCAATAGTGTTCATGCTCCATGCTCTCATCATACCGGCTTTGTTAACCCTGCTTCCATCGAGTACACCCACCTTCAAAACATTTTGCAATGTGAACAGGCACTTCCCGTGCTGATCCACCGCATATTCATCTCTTGCGCCATATATCATACCAACGGGTCAACAAAACAAGCATCCCGGCTGACGAGGATCGTGGGGCCTGGCGGTACCGACAAACTGACGGCAAGGCAAAGAATGATCCGTGATCCGTGATCCGTGATCCGTGCGACAACCTGTCTCCACTCGGGACAGACTGAGTGAGTCCTACATGTGCAACCGGAAAATTTGCAGAGCACTTTGATTCGCAGAAAAAAAGCAGTTGACGTATTGATGGCGTGCAAAAGAAGACTAAAATCGATTGCTGCGAGGCTGAAATCTCGCATCCCAGGACCGTTCCTTGAACAGGTAAGTCACGGATGAATAATAGTATCGAAGAGACACTATCCTTAGGTAGGTTGAGCCATAACATTCATCTCGCGCGAAGGCTCCCCGCGACTCTCGAAGAATGGATTGCTTCTCTCACGCAGCTCGCACGAGTTGTGGCACTGGGTTCAGTTCTGCTAAGCGCCGCTTTGCATCGACCGAAACAGCTGCAAGCCTTGTGTCCAAACGGAAAGGCCGGCCTTTTCACCCCCAGCTTACCACTTGCGAGGCCTGATACCAACTTTGTCCTCCTCTGCACCATGATGGGTCCTGGGACGGAGACTGTCCCTGTTGACGCACGCCGAAGACCTGAATATTGTCCAACGGCTCATCCATTTGCCTACTGAAAGGCAATCGACCAGGACTTTCTACCACGAGGTGCTCTATATCGAAACAGCCGCTTGAATTGGTGGGAGGGCCTTGCAGATTCGCGGTATGCAACGGAACCTTGTCCAAAGAACGTATAGACAACGACATAATGTCTGGTCAGTTCAACCTTACAATGAATGGCGTCAGATATGGATCAGGGCCAGGTTCGAAGGTATAAATGAGGGCCACTCCTTCGAGGTATCTTGAATTGACACAGTCATAAGTCTAGTGCTCTTGGGGAAACCATTATAACAGCTTATCAACACAACCTCTCCCTCTAAAAAGAACCAATCTCTTCGGTACTTACCATAATGGTGCACCCCGCCACAGCTCCGAAAGGTGCCCCTCAAGCCTTCGACTTCATTGTCGTCGGAGGTGGTACTGCCGGTTGCGTTGTTGCTGGCCGTTTGGCTGAGAACCCCAAGGTTTCGGTGCTCGTGATCGAGGCTGGTATCAAGTATGTTGATCCCCTTTGGTCTCTCAGTATCAGCCCTCGCGGCTAACTTTAACTAGCAACACCAACGAGATCCCCGAGATTTCCACTCCGGCTCGTGCGTTTGAGCTGCGAGGCAGTCAATATGACTGGGGGTACAAGACCACTATGATCAACCGGCCGGACTACACGCGAGTTGAGAAGCCCAACACTCGTGGCAAGATGCTCGGCGGTAGCAGCGGTGGTAACTACTACACCTGGGTCCGTGGTAGTGCGGCCACGTTCGACGACTGGGTCGAATATGGAACGGATGAATGGAACTGGGAGAACACCAAGGAATACTTCAACAAATCCACCACATTCCATGACGACAACAAACTCTACCCAGCCGACCTTGCAAAGATCGGCAACCGCGGTGGACCCCTTCATATCTCGCATTCCGACTTGATCCCAGAGTTGCAGCCTTTCCGTGACGCTCTTGAGAAGGCCTGGGTAAGCAAGGGCCAAGAGCTGACTACCGATGTCTACAGCGGCGTCCAGAAGGGTCTGTTCAAGTGCGTCAATAGCATCTACAAGGGTAGACGATCCACGGCGGCCGTCTTCATCGAGGGAAAGGAAAATGTGACACTCATGTCCTCGACGATTTCCAAGAAGATTGTCTTTGAAGGCAACAAGGCCGTAGGCGTCACTGTCATCGGCCCCGACGGCCAAGACTACACCTTCCGCGCCAAGTACGAAGTCATCGTCTCTCAGGGCGTGTTTGAGACCCCTAAGCTCCTTATGCTTTCTGGAATCGGCCCTAAGGAACACCTTGAATCTAAGGGGATTAAGACCCTCGTCGACTCGGAGCACGTGGGCCAGAACCTCTTGGACCACCCGATCTTGTCCCACGTCTTCAAGATCAAGGACGGCTATGGCCTTGACAGCCATCTCCTGCGCGCCGGTCCTCAGAAGGACGGCGCCATCGCCGCCTACAGAAAGAACCGCACAGGCCCGTATAGCAGTGGTCTGCTCGAGCTGGTCGCCTTCCCTAGAGCTGACGAGTGGTTCGAGACATCCAAGGAGTACCGTGAGTACAAGGCTAAGAACGGTGGCGTCGATCCGTTCGGGCCTGCTGGTCAGCCGCACTTTGAGGTCGACTTTGTGGTAAGTCATACCATCAAAAGAATCCCTTTTCACTTTGTGATAACCAGGAACTGACGTGACATCTGCGCAGCCAATGTTCTGTGACGCTTTCCAGTGGCACTTCCCCACGCCTCCTCAGGGCGACTACCTGACCGTCATCGTGGACCTGATGCGCCCTCTGTCGCGTAACGGCGAAGTCAAGCTCAACTCGACCGACCCGACCGAGCAGCCGTACGTCAACATCAACTTCTTCTCGCACGACCTTGACCTGATCGCGCTGCGTGAGGGCGTGCGCATGATCGACGACATCGTCATGAACGGCGAGGGTATGAAGGACCTCATCGAAGGCGACTATCCTTGGCCGATGCCGCGCAACTCGGACGAGGCCATGATCCGCCAGATCCTCGAGCGCTCCCAGACGGGCTTCCACCCGTGCGGCACCGCCCGGCTGGGCAAGGACATCAAGCAGGGCGTCGTCAACCCAAAGCTGCAGGTATACGGCGCGTCCAACCTGCGCGTCATCGACGCCTCCGTCTTCCCCGTCATTCCCGACTGCAGGATCCAGAACGACGTCTACATGGTCGCGGAGAAGGGCGCTGATCTGATCAAGGCTGACTATCCCAGCCTCTTCAAATGAACGACGATGAGTAGTAGCGGCGGCGGTAGAAATCGTAGTCCGTCGCAGAAGACCGGGAATGTGGGAATAAGTCATTGACTACATAGTTAATATCGTCGTGACAAGCCAGACCTAGGATAGGAGCCCCATTGTAACATTAGAATCGAACCTATTCGTTCAGTATGATCCATCTCTTTCCATTTCCATTCCCCTTCCTTTCCTCTTTTCTTTCCGTTTTCCTTTCCCTCCCACTTTCTGTCTCTCGCTCTCTTCCTCTCTTTCCCCTCTTTCTTACGCGCAACGCCTACGCACTGGAATCCCCCACGTTTACAGAAAAACAAAAACAAAAACAAAAACAAAACAAAAGAGAACGCCGTGTCGTCCCCGACCAGCCTATCAAGAGCAGGGAGCCACTCGCGACTAAGCCGCCACCTGCCTCCATCGCTGGAGGGAGAGCGAGAGCGAGGGCGAGGACATCGCTTCGTTCGGTGTGTTCTCGAAGCTAGCCGGAAGTGGTTTTCTGGGGGCTACCAGGCTCTACCTAAAGGAGAAATCCAACACCCCAATCAGAGGACTCCGTAACTGACCACCTAGGTAGCCAATCGGGAAACTGATTATGAATTGTGTTTGCACAGCGAGATGCCAGAATAAGCGAGTCAACTTGGTCTAGCCCTGTACGTACTAGCCGTTCCCATCCATCACTCGGACTAAAGAAAGAGGGTGGTACTTGTACCATGGAGTAGTAGTATCAAAGAGGCAATTCCCTTCGAATGCCTTTGTACGATAGCGGTCTTCAGCCCGTGTGGGTGCGGAATCTCCATGGTGGGGATCGCGGATCTCGTGTGGCGCCTGCGTGGCGTATATGTGGACGACGGAGCGCAAAGGGAGGTAGGGCAAGGCAAGGCAGGGCAGGATAGGACATGGCATTAATAACAAGGCAAAAATGACAAGGCAAAGTAGGTAGGGTCGGATAGGGAAGGGCATGGTAAGGGCGGGCAAAGCAAAGCCGGGACGATAGATGATAGACAGTGGATGGGTGTGTTTGGGACTTGACCTTCTGAGCGCGTTGTCTCCTATTTACTATTTCTCGCTTGGATAAGCGAGCAAGGAACCTTCTTCTGAAGAAAAAAGAAAAAGAAAAAACATAAAACAAATAGACTTTGCTTGCCTACGCCGTAGTACTCCGTACTTCATGACATCGTCGCTGTAATTATTATCCTCCTCCTCCGCAAACGATGGACTGATATCTCTATCTCCTCACCGTGTGGGGGAGGCTGTCGTCTCTACTCAAGGAGCACCCTCAGCCCCCTTGAAGCCTTGCTTCGGAAACGGCACGGATAGGTCATGTCTGATCTCGACGTCGTCGCTCGTCGTGTCGAAGAGCTCGAAATACCCCAGCGCGCCGGGATCGCTGGGGCCGCCGCAGCGGCGGAAGATGTCTGCGACGCAGAGGTGCAGCTGCGCGTACGCCATGTTGATGCCGACGCACTGTCGCGACCCTTTGGAGAACGAGCACAGGTCCCGGCTCAGGTGCTGCGGGTCTGCAAGCCGGCGCTCAGGCGCAAACTCGAACGGCACTGGAAAGATGGAAGGGTCGAGATGGATCAGGCTGCATGACATGCAGACTGGTACCTGTTTAAGAAAGAATCTCAGATAATGTTCGCTCTCGTCGTCGTCGCTGGAACATGACTCCTTTGCCCGGTGGGACTTACATTCGGTGGTACCTTCCACTGAGTCTCTCCGTCGTCGTAAGTCAGGACCTCATCTGAACAGAATCTTTGCAGTCGCGTGCAGACTCCGAACGAACGGCAAGATGGATGGGGAAAGTGTGCTCCCCATATACATCCTCAGCCTTGCACGCCCACCACGCGGGTCTGGTCTAAACAGACCTCACGAACCCACCACAGAATTGTTCCCTTTATATTTTTATTGTGTTCAATTCCTGTCACACAAAGACCCCCTTCCACGACTAGGGCGATACCGAGTCCGAACGAACCACAATTCCTTCATGCAGTCCAGGGCCTGTCAGGTCGAATTAGCACCGGGCTAGCAAGTATCAGGGCCTCGATTCGAACCGAACCGAACCGACGACATAATCTGGGTCTTGTCAGGGCGAACTAACAATAACGGGTTAGCAGGCAGCAGGACCTCGATTCGACTCCCGCACCAATCGATTCAACTGTAAAGATTTGTAGTATAACCGGTCGAGAAAAACCAACCCGCAAGGGTGAGTTTCGCTTATCACAGACCAGAGGTTGACTGTTCTGCGTTAAGTTTTTGCACTTTTTGTTTTCTGATTTCAAGCAACGTGCTTCTAGTATCACAGCCGCCTTGGGGGCATGTTAGTTCTGTTTGTGTTCATAATCCTGCCTCCACCATTGCCGCTGCACATACCTGATACGGCGGCTTTTCCAGGCCTCTGATTTCCACACCGTTCTATATGTCTGGCAAGGCCGATTCGAGTTCGACGCGGAGCTTCCGCATCACCTCGGCCTCCTGCCACAGACGCTCGGTTTCCCTTTCAGAGTCGGGCAGGCGGCTGACGAGCATCGAGTCAAAAATGGTCGTGTTTGAAGCGGCACCCGCTGCAGGTTTCTCGCCGTTTGCTTGCTTGGCCTTAATTTCATCGATCTGGATTCTCATCTACTTCGCAGAATCACGGTCCATTCTGTCAGCCTTTCGTGTGCCACTACACCGCAGTCTGGATTCTTTTTCAGGCTTACCATTTTGGACTGGGCGAAAGACGCCATCCCCGCGTCCTGCTTCTCGATGAAGCAATCCGGAAGCATGTCGACCAGGACCAAGAAGCTGAACGGTTTGCCGCACCCATGTCCTGCACGCCAGCAATCATTTCGATGAACTTAGCATTGAACCTAGGTTTGTCGGGTCAGCTGTGGGACTGCCTAAAGCAGTACTCGGTGATGATGTCGTCGGCGAAGGTGCCGAACGGCAGCTTAACGTTCAAGGGTTTGGGCGACCATTTGAACTCGGCCAGTTTCTGCGACAGTTTCTCGAAATTGCGTTTGAGGATCGGCTGCATCCGTCTGATGCTCTCCTTGGAGAAATAGCGGTTCACGACTTCCCAGCGCATACGATGCACGTCATGTCTGACGGTAGCGATCGCGGTGTCTGGACTGCCGAAGACACGGGTGGCCCAAGCATACAAGTCTCGACGTTTTGTGCCGCAAGCGTAGAGCACAGGAAGAAAAGTAAGGTCGTTTACAAGGAGCTCGTGTAGACTGATTCGAACAATCGGGCCTACAGGGCCCCGCGGGACCAATAAGCGATGAAGCGGCAGCAGCAGCAACAGCAGATATGGGAATCTCCGAGATGCTACTCACCACATTGGTCATGCATGTCCTCGATCTTAAACATGTTATGTCCGTCCGACAACATCGAAGAAGAATTCGTACCACAAAGTCACGGCTGCAAGCTTCGGGCCGGGGAATCTGGCTAACGGATTGAGAATGAGTCAATAGCAGGACAGCTCCACCAAGAACCCCAAGGAACAAATGAGACCATATGCGGTCAACGTAGGCAACATGATGCTGGGCCAGAACCAGAAATCTACAGTTCCAGAAGAGTCCACGGAGGCGGGGACACAGCTCGCTCCAACCGCAGCCTATGTGGCTAACCAGGTTGCTTGCTTTTTCTCAAGGAACAGGTCCCATGCAAGGGTCTCGTATCGACAGCTGGTTTATTGGGGACCTTGAAGGTGCATGAATGGGCGTGGAGTAGTTCATAAGCTGGCATTGTAGAAGAGAAGGACGAATGGGGAGTTGGAGATGGTCGCCGAGACTGGTTGGGTCGGGCGAGGCTCGCAAACTATGCCAGTCGCTTGGTCGTCAAAGAGGCAAGGGGGATGACACGGAGTCCATGCCTCAAATCAAGTCGGCTTTTGCGATGGAGAAGGATATTGTCCTAGCAGCTTCTTGTTTGCATTTGGGCGACAACCATAAGCCAATATGGATGTGTGTAGGTTAGTTGGCCAAGGAAAACCAGCCTGAAAAGTTAAGGCTCTTACCAACCTTAACCAGCTGGTTGCCAGTCTATACCTGGGGTGCAAATATGCTTTCTATCGTCTTCGGATTTCAAGAGCTATCGTGGTCCTCCTGCCCTGTCCCTACATCATTGTTGTCTCCGTGTGCCATGTCGCAAAAGGGTTAGCTGGCTGAATTTAGTGGTGTAAGAATGGCTCTTATTCCTGTCTTCCGCTGAACATAGCTGCACTCTTTCAGCCTTGTCGTGATCGAATAGAGTCCCTGAGGGGATCTCCGTATCACAGATGCTGACTCTTTGGGGGAGTTGACGTCTCGTTCCATAGTGTCTTCACTCTGGCCCTGAGATCATCTGTCCAGAAAAACCTCCTCAATACCCTGTCGAGGATGTCGGTGTTAGCTATTGCGTGCGGAAAGCGCGCTTTGAACCGCGCAAATAATCCTTTGCCGATAGGATGCAGCATCTTGGCGCCTTGTGGCTTCCAAGAGTCTAGAGTTACCAGCCAAACCCATAACATGCAATCTTCTTGGTCAGCCGCTCCCGCAAGATGTGTGCGCGGATTTGCAGGAGGCTCTAGGATGACAGGCGCTCGCAGGAGTCGCATCGTGAGAGCACGGAGAACGCCAGCGTATACAACTGTAGAGGCGCGGATTGCAGAGTATGCATTGCAGCACCAAAGAACCAGAGCAAGAGTCAGAGGTTTGAGCAAGGGGTGCACATTGTCCTCAGGTGCGAGGAGCCAAGGGCAAGCGTCGCTAAATGAATCGTACTTGCGTCGCTCTGAGTGAAAAGGGTTTGCGGTTGCGGAGAAAGGTACGTAGGCCGTGCTGCCGAAACAGCGGCGAACGGTGGCAGCGATGCGAGAAAGTAACTCGATCATCTCGAGGGGCAGTAGGCGGTGGCGGGCAAGGCTCTGGAAGCCGCCTGGGAAAGCGCTAATGATCTTTAAAAACTGTGGGGAAAGTGGAAACGGTGGGTATTTTGGACGGTAGCGTCGTGGAGGCACAAGGGTGCTCGGGCCTCGCTCAAGCGAATAGATGTTGTCAAATCTGACAGACAAATGGGTTAGTCCTTGTTGATGAAAGACAGGTCACAACTGACTGCATAAATGTCGCCTTTTCGAATCCATCATGGCCTAGAGCGTCCAGTCCTCCTCGGGCCCTTACCAACCGAGCAAGGTTGATTCGGTGCATGTCTGCTGACGACTGTTGGCCGATTGCTATCTGCGTGGCACTTAGCACGGTCACGTCAAAGCAAAACGAAGGACATACGTCGATAGCAATGAGAAACAGAATGGTAGCGAGCATCATATTGGTCGGCTGTGTCGCTTTCTCGATCTCATGCCGCAGATGGGTAATTGCCTTTGCCTGGTGTAATAGAACTGACAAGGTAGGCTTTCTTTCAGAACTCCTTAACAAGTCTGCGGTGACGCACAGTCTGGCAATACCCGCATGGTAAAAGCTTTCGCTCTCGGTAATGCACTCGAGGAATAGGGAAGTGTAGACACTGGTAATGTTGAATATTTCGTAGACTGGACGGAGGGCAGGTGCTGCAATATTGGCGACTTGGAAACCCAGACACTGTTAGTCCGTTGTGGGCGAACATGGCGTAAGGACATGGAAGCGCTTACAGTAATCCACCGCCTGGTATGCGTCTTCATCTTTGTCATACGGAAGCCAGTATAGGGGATCGACACTCATAGCTGGAGGATGGGATTGTGCAGCCCTGTAATTATGTCTTCTGTCCCCAGGTATATTGCTCGCTCGACTCGAAATGCATACATGTCTGGATTTGGGCTGAGCTTGTATGGTTCGGGATGTACTGCGTCGAAAGGAAGCTCGCGCCCTAGAGGCCGAGGAGACACCTGGCTCTTCTCGCGAGATAGAAGCTTCTGCTAGATGCTGTTGATTCTGCTCAGGACTGCCGGAAGGGGATGGATATACGAGGGGGCTCTTTAGAGGGCGGATGCGGTGTCCTGATGGTCCTTGTCCTAGGGCGAGTGATGCTCGTGCCCTTGTGGATGCGTGAGAGATTTTAGCTGCGTGAGCTCTGGCCGCGGTCTGATTCTTCTCCAAGGAGCCTCGTTCGAGCTGCTGAGGGGTTGAGATCACAAACAGGAATCTAGAATTGTCTTCCTCGTCCATTACTGGGATGGTTGTGTCAATTGCCGTTTTGAAAGTGGAATTGCTGGCTCCTGGCATGGAAGCGGTTACCTTTATATTATTTTCGATAGAGTCGACCACGCACTGTGATTGACAAGAGCGGGGGATGGATGAATCAAAACTCCCAAGAGCTTCCCGGTCCGTATGTTCAAGCAGGGGGTTGATTGACGCGGTGGTTGAGTGTCACCTTGTAAGAGTCGAGGCAAGATATGCCGCAGCAGCACCATACCAGTCCCTTTCCCAGGACAGTAATGGAGAGATTGGGCGTATTGCGTACATGCTGATATGCGATGGTACGAATGCAATAGAATCAAGAGAGGTGCACGCGCACTGAATCAGGTACCTACCTATGTACCTAAGCCCTTGATACGGCGACTTTTCTGGGGTAAGGATTTGGAGGACAAGAAAGAGTAGTAGGTGAGTAGGCTGGATGAGAAGGGAGCTGACTAAGCGGCACATCGCAGGACTGCACAGCTCTCCGCAGACCACCCAGGAACCAGCTTTTGCCTAGAAAGAGATACTGGCTGGCCTCGGCTATTAACAGGAAATTGCTTCCAACTCTTTGCACCAAAGTCGATAGATATAAACGAAGCAGCTAGTCACTCACTCACTCGTTCGGTCACTCCTTCTCTTCTCGTCAAGGTCAAGGCCGCGTGGGTTCTGTGCCCATGTCCTTGAGGAGTGACGAATCGTGCTGACAAATAGGTTCATTCCTGCGAGCTCCAGGAGTCCTTTTAGGGTTGTCTATCGCGTGTCACTTGGGGGCGCGGCGAGATTCCATGCAATTACGAGTTGGTTGTGGGTTGTATGTAGTGGGAAACAAGAAGCGAAAGGAGTCCGAACAAAGCAAAAAAAAAAAAAAACGTCTCGAAGGATGGGGAGGGGGGACTGGAGGGGGAAGGTGAGAGGGTGGAAAGGTTGCACCCCGCACGTCCCCCTTATTATTTTTATTGTTTTTCGTTGCTGGTCGCTTGCATGCAGCTAGAGCGGCCACTAATCGGCAGTTCCCAGACCTCACTGGCACCCGGGCACCCATAAGATAACAGGGCGTTTTGGCGCCCGGGTCAGTGGACACTGGACGGTGCAGATAGTAACAGCGGGTGGCTTGCCTGGCGCTCAAATGGAGACCTGGGGATCTCGCCGAAGAGTTGAACACACTATACCCAAGTACCTACTGTAGGTAGGTAGACCCTGACGCCTAGCGCCCCCTCTTGACCTGGTGGTCCCTGCTGTCCCTGCTGCCCCCTGTTGGCTCTGCTGGTGGTTCCGTTGACCCTGCTCCCTCCCTGCTGGTCTCTTGTTTGTTCCTCCCGTTGGCTCTGTTCGGCCAGACGGATCCACGCTGTACCCATGCAGATCACAGCCTAGAGAGCCTAGCTCCTCTCCTCGTAGGCTGTAGCAGCCCAAGCTCCAAAAATTTCTCTCCTCCTGCTGCAGATGGCGCTCAGATGGCACTCAGATGGTAGATCCAAAAGTGACCCAGTGTCTTCCTTGCTTCCCCCGAAAGTGCCACATAAAATCCACTCCATCTCGGCTTCAGGCACAAACCAACGTCATCAAAGAGACAGACGCACAGAATGCCACGAGGGCATCTGTTTAGCACTGTCGCTTCAATCCACTCACTCTTTTTCAGCTGCTACTCTAGCTACCTCCTTGCACCTCATACTTAGTAAGGGTCCTGCCTCCTGCAACAGCCAAACTGCGCACTGCGACTTGCTGAATCTCAATCTCAACCTCGACCGCACCTTCACCTCAGGGCTCCTACCACCTCGACCTCGAACATACTCTCATATCCGCTCCCGCTCAACTTCCTCTCTTCCTCCCCATGAACTCATCGTCGACATCAGCATCATCATCATCACCACCACCACGACGTCCGCATCTACACCCTCCTCTATATAGTTGACTGCATTTGTCTGTCATCTCGCTTTCACGCCTCGGCACTCGTCCGTCTCAGACGTCATCCTCAGGTCTCGCCTTGTCCAGTCACGACGCCAATTCTACTCTCTTTGGACACACGTCGAAGGTGTCGAGACGGCATTATCTCGAGAATTTACTCCTTCCACCACATACGGTTCCTTATTTGACGTACCTTCACCATACTGTCCCAGCCCACACAGATGGCTCCTCGATCTCCAACGCACGCATTCGATCCCACTCCAGCCCTCGAGCATGACCCAGACAACTTTTCTCCTCTCAACCACCCCCGGACAA